TCCCAGCCAGTTGACCAGCTGTTAGGATTTCTGGGAGTTGAAGGCCAAAAACATATGGGGACCCCAGGTTGAGAACCACTGTCTTACTGCCTCCGGGTTAACCAAATATTATTGTCTTTTCCAGAAAGACTTATCATGAGAGATATATCCATAGAGACATATCCTTTCATGATATGTCCAAGGTGCACCAGTCATGTTGGCATCTAGTGAGAGTTCGGGCTTGATTTATTGTAGAGCCCGCTTATATCTCTTTTTAGCAGTTCATAGTATTTGTAGAGCTCCATCAACACATTTCCAATGAGTTGATTCTTTTCCTATTGACTTGATCCTCTGTCCGGCTTTCACAACCATACCTCCAAATCAGAAATATTGTGGTAGGGATAATATTGATTGCCACACTATGCTAGCATTAAAACAACTGTACAGGCAGTATAGATAAATGTGTAAACCAGTGAGCTTTCTTGGAAGTTACATAAATGTGGTCTAGTACAGTGGTTGTCCCATAAACACACCCACCATGTTAGAGTCAGTAAGTGTAGAACTCATTAAAGGAGCCAGTGTGCTGTAAGGTTTGAGTATTAGACTACCATTCTGGAAACCCAGGGTCAATTTCCTGCTTGGCCATGGAAACCATCTTTGGTGAGTTACTCACTCTCAGCTCCAGAAAGTTCTTTTGTAAGATTTCTCTTAGGGTTGCCACAGGTTAGAAAGAGCTTGAAAACACACAACAACAACAACAACAACCCACATGATTCTCTGGGTCTGCAGAAGCCGCAGGGCAGATTGTAGAACTTTGGGATCCAGCATAAATAACCACATTGTTATGTGTTTGAGTTACAATACAGAAGTACAGAATGCTTTGTTAGCCTTTGTTGCTTCCGCTTTCATGATGGGCAGATAATGATGATGGTGGTGATGACGATTTTGCCAAGGCATCTGCTCTTGGGTCAAGGGCCACTGGTTTAAACCTGTCAAGCCAAACTATAGCTGCAATCTATTGATGTCTCAAACTAGGCGACTGTTGCTTTAACGCTGCGAGTTACATAGAAGTCTTCTGTTTCTTTACAAGCACACTAGGGTGAATATTTTGTCTAGCTGCTGGGGAAATCTTTGTCATGGACTTTGCTGACAATAGACTTAGAAGTAAAATGGTCTGCTTTTGGTGCCTGGAGGTTCTGTAGTCTATTGTTAGTTCACAATGGATTTCTATTGCTGCATTCCTGCTTTGCAAAGGTTTGTTAGCTTTTAATGACTGACAGTCTTCGACTGCAAATACCACGTATCCTGAGTTGTTTGCTTACTACTCAAGGATTTTTTTTTTTGAAAAAAGGAGCAGCAGAAAGAAGAAAAAAGAAATATACCAATGTTTGTATGACCTATTCAGGATTGTTGGGTTTTTTAACCCTTGGTGAAATATTTACTAAAGGAAACAATGCAAACCTGGGAACATACTTGTTAGCTTCACCTTTATATTCATCAGACATTTTGATATTGGATTTGGAGCAGGACTCCATTTTGCAGACCTAACCCAATTCCTGGCTTCTGTGGTCAAGAATTAAAACCCAATTGAAACAATACCAATATTAAAATTCTTTCAAAAATCCACTTTGTGCAAAAGATCCCAGATTCAATCCAAAGTATCTAAAATTAAACTTCAAATAGCATTTCTTGAAATGATGTTGAATAATCCTATGTAACAAAATTTGAAAAAGAAATCTGTTCCTGGTTGGAAAGTGTTATTCCTGTTTAACTATGCGGTACTTACTTTGAAAGTAGTTGTTATACTTCAGAAACTTCATTTTTATGACTGTCATAAACTATGTTGAAATGGTTGAGACTTGAGGAGATACTCATTGAAAAACTATAGCAAAATGTGCTGCAGGATGTCCCGCAAAAACAATTTTTTTGTAGTTTAATAAACTTTTTTCCATGTTTCTATGATAGAACCAATTAGTAAATGACATTTATAACCCAGGAACAAAAATTGTGTTACATAATTGTAATTGTTACCAGTTACAGAAGATACATTCTGGACTAGATGAGTCCATGGTCTAACCTTTGGTCATCCATTACAGTAGGCAGAATAAGGCCGCTTCCTCCAGCCACAGATGTTGTAGGTTAGGCAGCTGGTCCATACCTTCAGTCCTTCAACTTGGCATTTTCCCAGTCCTTCATCCTGGCATTTTCTCTTACTGCAAACAAGGCTGTGACACTTTGGTATGACAGAAGCCAATCTATTCACTGCCAAGACAGTGGTTTCTGTGCACAGAATACGAAATGGAGGTCACCATCTTGCCCCATAATACCTTGGCTAGTACAAGACCATCTCTGATTTATCAACATGGGAGCTTGTTATGTTCAGACCAGTGTTTCAGAGGGGTGCATAAATGAGTTTTAAAGACCCCAGGACCCCAGATTGTCAACGTTTCATCTATGTTAAGATTCATTTTGTCTTTTGTTCTATAGAGATCTTAACTGCCATGGAGTGTGTTGAGAGAAGAGACACACATCAAGCTTCCAGCAAAATTAGCCAGCCAAGAGAATGGAGTCTCCTTGTAATGCCTTTTTATTTCCATGCAGAGAATTAACCAGTTGCTAATAAGCATATGGTCCCTAGGCCAGACGGTCCCTTTGAAAAGTTAACATGTACTCTCTTTCAGTTCCCAGTAGGGGGTAAAAAATGCGGGAGCAAATACACATAAGCACAAAAGTGGAGGAAGCAGTTATATGTCTTAGATCGAGATAGTAAGTGTGGCCATTGTTATTTAGATGGAACATACTGGAGCACTTATCTTTTAGTACACTCCATTTTCGAACTGAATGCAACACTAATCGCAGGATTGGAAGCTATTGTAATTGTGCACCCTTCTAAATGCTGACAAGAATATGCAATTACATTGTTTGGAACCGACTTTAACATCCCCTGGGTTGTATTGGCATTTGTATTTTACTTATGCATTAAAATCTATATGTATAAGAAACAAGGTCAGAATGCAGGAGTTAGAAACATTGAACCATCTACATCTTGCAAATATATATCCCTGAAAATCCTGAAAACATATATTAAAATCAAGCAATATGTATATAAAGTGAACAGATAATGGGTTCTTGTGTACTGCTTGTGAGCATTTCAAGAACAAAGGAAGTCTTATATTGAGTCAGACCAGAGCCTTGGTCCCTCTAAACAAGTGGTTCTCAACCTTTGGTCCTGCAGTAACTTTGGGCTTCAACTACCAGAAGCCTGTGCCAATACAGATAGAAGACAGAGATTTGGGGTGAGTCAGTCCAAAACATCTGGAGGATCAACTTTTTTAAAAAAGTTTTTTTTCCAAAAAAAAGAGGGGGAAATCTCAAAGTATTAACAAAGGAAAAAAAAGATGGGAAACATTGTCTTCTCTTCTCTTCCAATTCTGCATATTCCTTCTCTTTGTTTTATGGAGGATTGACTTTTGAGAACTACTGCTCTAGACCAGTCAGCCCTCTACAATGCCAAGTACATGTCTTCATCCTTCATGGAAATGCTGGAGATTAGCCTCAGACTTTCTTCATGGAAAGTTTTTGTTCTTCCATGAGCTTCATATTTGCTCCTCTCCCTAAAGCATCCAATTTACCTCCTCTTTTGACACCGCCGCACATGCCCCTCTTCTTCCCTTTATCCTTCTTGCCACTCTTGGGCATTTCCACACCCTTTTGCTCACTCTGCACTTCCTTACTTAATCCACAGACCTGTTCTCCATTGCAACAAAGGGAGAATAGCTAAACATACGTAGTATTTTAATGATAGTACCGAGAAGGACAAAAACTTATGCAACATAGTTGGCTCCTGGGTCCATGTCTGGATTACTGGACCCCAAAAATGTGTACCACCTCACTCTGTTAGTTACTATGGAAGATGGACTTACATTCTTTCCACTGCCACAAACATTATGATTCTATATACTCAATGCTGTAACTTGTAAACAGGAGGATTTTGATGTAGACGTGACTTGGTGAACTTCCCATGTTGGGGTGGCCATGGTGGTAACAGAATGCTGGACTCTGTAGGGCTTTCATCTGTTTTATTGGAGAATTATTGTGTTCTTACCTTGGATTGAATTACATTCAGAGAGAATGGATTTATGAATGGTTTATTAGTCATAATGGCTACAGGGCACTTGCTGATTCAAAAAGAATATGTGCCTCTCAATGACTGTCACTGGGGTGCCGCAGCCTTCAGGTCCTGCTTGAAGCCCTGTTTTGTGGGCTTCCTGGAGGCATTTGAGAAGCCACTGTGGAAAGCAGCACCTGGGAGGCATTGACTGGCCCTTGATCTCATGCAACAAGGCTCATCAAATATTCTTAAACCAGACAGGGCTCCTTTCTAGTGTTCTCCCAAGATTTACAATCCTCACAAAGCGTTGGCTATCCCCAAACTCTCCTCATTATTGTTATTATTTGTTTGCAGTGTGTGTGTTACTTCTGTGAGGGGATAGAAGGGTCTTGCCACAGTGTGCTTACTACCACACTATGTTTAAACACATTGTAAAGTGGATGTAATTGTAAACACACTGAGGGATATAATTACATGTAGCAGATTTAGCCGCTAATTCTTTGCCTTTCTCTCCCTCTCTCTCCCTCTCCGCATTTTATCAACATAATTATATTTTTTAAAAAACTCAGACTAACACCCTGAAATTGACAAGCATCCATTATAAGCATAAACTTGTTCTCTAAATTGAAAAACAATACACGCCGGGTTTCTGTGTGCCCATTGTCATATGGAATGGCTTTGTTCCGTAAGAGGGAAAAGCTAATGATTTTGAAACAGCAGGTGACAAAACACTTTCTTTTTTTTCATGCTTTCTCCTCTTATCAGTTTGTTGATGAAGTCATTATGAACTGGGGTCCAGGATGGGGTAGTTCTTATTTTTAGCAGATAGACTTTTAATGAGTTCTATTGTGCCGTCAGTCATGTTGATTCGCTTACACTTCTCTTTCTTTTTTCCTTCCTTTTCATTCAGAAACCCCCAGTATTGAAAAGCTACTATCAAAAGATTGGAAAGACAAGCTTCTTGCCATGGGATCAGGGAACTTTGGAGAAATAAAAGGTAAACCTCATTACAATTGATTGGAAGGGATGTTAAGAGAAAAGTAAATCYGAATATGTGTGGTGTCAATTATRGCAACTGAAGCTCACACACTTTTGCTCTTTCTATTTTGATTTTCTTCACTGGAGGSGGGGGGYGTGGAYATGTCTTCTGGACRACTTRYGTTACAGAGYTACAGCTATAGGTGAAGGAATAAGAGAATTGCCCYAACCAAATAAGKATTRGGACCTTCACTCACCAAGTTTCTAGCATGTAATTTCATASAGTTGYCTCTCCATATCCATGAATTCAGCATCRTTGCARTCAACCWCCCATGGCTTGAAAATATGTTTAAACYRTTAAATATTTTTAAGTCASAAAAGCAAARCTTTATTTTGTCATTTTYTATAATTTTATTATGCTATTGTATATAATTGGACTTGYYTATCCATGGATTTTGGGGTCCTCAAATATCAAGYGATRACTGTATTTTAGATGAGCAGTTTGAWAGAGTTCAGGCAACRAAAGAAAAAGGGAAGGCAAAGTTAGCAGGGGYATGTAAACACAACAAATAGAAGTGTTCTGCATMCATATGAATTGAGTGTCACACTCTRYTCAACGAAAAAAGCTTGGGGACTCAA